GGGATTTGGAGGTTCATAGCCTTGCCCCATCTCATGTTCTCTCTCTGCTTCATGCTTGCTGTTAAAGATGTGCTCTCTTAGCCTCCTGCTCCTGCCTCCACGATGGACTCTAACCCTTCTGAAAGCCAACAGGAACTTCCTTCCATAAGCCACTTTTGGTCATGGTGTTTTGTCACAGCACCAGAAAAGTAACTAGTACAGAAGTAATTTTGTATGCATGCATGCATGCATGTATGACACAGGGTCTCACCAGGCACCCATGGCTGACTCCAAACTCACAGTCCTCCTCACTTCACTTCCCAAGTGCTGAGACCAGGGATGCATCAGGAAACCTGGTTATTATTTTATTTTTAGTGATAGGTTATGGTTGTATATTGCCAAACCTTTGACTAACTATACATTCACAGTATGCTTTCTTTGTACCCTGGAAAACACTCCTCACTTGGCTGGAAGTCCCCTAAACGGGACATCCCAAGGGTGTGTCTAGTGGCTTTGCTGCCATGGTGATGTTGTATCAACAGAGCAGCCACTGACCCTCCCCAGAGGTGAACACGACCCAGTCATTAGGCTCTGACTGTCATCATGTCTGCTGTGGTGGCTGACACTGCCACCTGGTCCCTTGGAAGATGGAAGTTTTTTCCTTCCCCCCTAGGAATGATCAGTAAGGTCACCCTGGTCATGGTACACAGAAACCACTGTAGGCTTTGCTTTTATTTATTTATTTTGAACCAGGGTCTCAGGTATCCCAGGCTGTTCCTGAACTTGCTATGCAGCCAAGGGTAACTTTGAACTTCTGATCCTCCCATTTTACCTCCTGAGTGCTAGGATTGCAGGTAAGTACAACAATGCCCAGTTTATACAGTGCTGGGAATGAGACCCAGAGCTTCATACATGCTAAGTGAGCACCCTACCAACTGAGCAGATCCTTGGGTTCTATTTGGGAACTCAGCTTTAAAGCAGCGTCTCTAAGCCTGGACCTTGCACCTCCAGGCAAGGGCTAGACCAACATCAACAGGTCAACCAGGGACCAAGGGGGTATCTGCTGGGTGTCAAGGTACATGACCTGGTTCAGACCTCCAATTCAATAGAAGAGAGAGTCCAGGTAACATGTCCAATATGGTCACCTTGTAAAGACTGACAGTATAAGTTGGTAACGGCTATTTGTATTACAAGCCTTAAAACTGAGGAGGAAGGGGCAGGTGGGTATAGCTCAGTTGGTAGAGTGCTTGTCTGGTATACCTGAGGCCCTGGGCTCAATCCCTAGCAACCCCACACAAGAATGTAGGTGTGGGAAGATGCACCTGTAGTTCTAGCTACCTCAAAGGCTGAGGCAGGAGGATCACAAGCTTCAGGCCATTGCAAGCAATGTAGGGAGATCCTGTCTCAAAATAAAGATTTCAGAAAAAGCCTGGGATCTAGCTCAGTGGTAGAGTACTTACCTAGCATGTACAAGGCCCTTAGGTTCAATCCCCAACACATACGCGCGCGCACGCGCACACGCACACACGCACACACACGCACACGCACACGCACACACACACACAGCTTTAAAAATGTAAAAAAATCACTGACATACAGTCCACTTTTACTAATTTACCCCAAGGAAATGATCACAGGTCCACTCAAAGGCTATACATTAAAGTATTATTTGTGAAAGATAGAAATTAGAAATACCTTGCTATATAATAGTATATTTAAGTTATTATATGATCATAAATAATTACACTAATTGTACCATCACAAAGACTATGTCATTGTATAAATTTTGTCCATGAAATATTATTCATATAAAAAGCAGGTCAAAACTGTTATACAACATAACATCTTATTTTCATAAAACAAACAAAAATGTATAAGCTCATTTAAGCACTGATTTTAGCGGATTTTCTTTGGGGAGAACCAAGGTTCCCTTGCTTTTATCTTTCAGGCTTTGCACTGTATTGGTGGTTTAAGCGATAATCTTTTACATTTAAGGCATTTTTATTTCTCTTCTTTGTATGTTACGTCCTTGGTTTACCTTCTCGTGGTTTTTATATCTATGGCTTTCTTCATTGTTTTCACAGCATTTTCCCAAATGCTAAGTAAGTCTTTCTCCAGCACCAGGAGGGAAAGCAGTCAGTGTGTCGGGCCTCCCTCCCGCTCCACCCCTAACACCTAAGGGTCAAGTTCCACACATGGGGCAGCTAGAACCTGACCCGGTTCACGGCTCCGGTGAAAGGACTTCCCATCCTGAGATTCGGGACCACATAACTGAGTTCATCGGAGTTGTTTATGCTGGTGTGGGTTTTCTTTTTGTTTTTTCTTAAAGAGGCTGAATCCCAAAGCTCAGAGAATTAGCTGAGTAGGAGCTGATTAGAACAGTTCATGCTGCAGAGACGGTGATACCGCTTACTCTGCAGGTCTGGCATCTGCCTGAGGGAGGACAAGTCTGGTGCCGTCCTTCCCTGGCCAACACACAAGCAGGAAGCCGAGGGACTCCACACCTCAGGTCTCTGGGCTTGAGATGACTGAAGAACTTTTGGAAATAAAGAAATGTGTTCCTACAAAAGTGGTGTCCAGTCTTGAACTCCTAGCACTCAGGAGACTGAGGCAGGTGCATAGAGTTCCAGGCTATTCTGGTTTGCATGAGAAAGCCCCCATAGGCTCAAGGATTTGCACACATGGTCCCTAGCTGGTGGTGCTGTTTGGTGACGTTATGGAGTCTTTAGGGGGGCACAGTCTTGCAGGAGGAAGCAGGTCACTGGGCTTTGAGAGGTCACAGCCTTGCCCCACTTGTATGTCCTCTCTGCTTCATGTGTGCTGTTCAGGATGTCAGCTCTCAGCTTCCCGCTCCAGCTGCCACGCCTCCCCGCCATGATGGACTCCTATCTCCCTGGAACCATAAGCCCAATAAACTCTTCCTTCCAGAAGCTTCCTTCATCATGGTGTTTCATCATAGTAGTAACAAAGTAACTAATGCATCCTGTCTCAATCAGTAAACCAGCAAACAGGAAAGAAATATGACTTTCCATCTACCTTCTAAATAAACATTAGAAAGTCATTTATTTCCATGTTATACAACACGGGCAAAACACACCAGCATTCCACTGAAGCCTTCCCAAATATTAGGATAAATTTAAATAGATCCAACTAAGGGTGATCAATAGTAAAATAATCAGATGCACAAAAGTGTTGCTTTTTAGCCACTGCCGAGCACCACCTTGGAAGAGGCAGGAACTCTCAGACCCCCAGAGGGGCAGAGGCACAAAGTCGTCACTGAATTTCCTCAAACTAGTCTTACGCTGTAAAATAATACCATGTTTCTTCAAATGATCAAAAAGAAGGGGAAACTGCTAGAATTGCCTAGTGGGGCTGAGTGATAGTCACATGTTTGTTCATTCTATGTCATTAAGCACCCACCATGGGCAGACTGTGCCCCTGGAGGCTGGGAGGAGGCAGAGGGCCTATACTCCTGCTCGTAGGAATTAGACTCATGCACAGCAGACTGCGAGCCAGTTCCCTATGCATTCCCTGGCACTGCAACCTGGGAGCTGCTCCCCTTAGGAGAGTTCAGCCCTGGGGCTGGAGAGAGAGCTCGGCAGTTAAGAGCACCAGCTGTTCTTGCAGAGGACCTGGGTTCAGTTCCCAGCACCTACATGGTGGCTAACAGCTCTCTGTAACTCCAGTTCCAGGGAAATCTAACACCCTCTTCTAACTCCAAGGGCACTGCATGACACAGGTGCACTTACATACATGCAGGCAATAGACTCGTACACTTAAATACGTTTTAAAAAAGAGAGTTCGGCCCTATGGAGTCCAGGCCGACCTGGCGTGTGTGGCACACAGTTCTGCTGCTGCATCTAGGCTCTGGACCCCTCATGTGCTTCCTGCTTCTCCTCTTCTGGATCTGTGACTAACCTGGACGGGCCAACCTGGAGGAGAGTGGAGACTCCCTAGCCAGGAGGCAACACCCCCAGATCAGAGCTTAGCTAGTCCACAGCTGACCGGATGTGGAAGACCATGGCAGCCGTGCTGAGACCCCAAAACTGTGAGCTAAGAACAGGGCTGTGAGAATCAAGCTGTCCGGCCGTTCGCTACACAACAGCGCCTGAGCCACACGTCCACACATACGTCCAACAAGTGCTGATGCTGATGAGCCCAGGGTGGAAATGCCTGTGACCTTCGTTACACCAACACGCTATCAATTCCAGATGAATCACGAGGTCTAGATATAAAAACAACAGGCCCAGACAGCAGCAGAGAACTAAAAGTTTTACATCTAGGGAAGGGTGAGCTCGAGGAAGCCATGGTTCCTCAGAGACGTGTTTCATGGCTGAGTTGGATTTGTCTATGAGTCATACTTTGTTTCTTTCCTCCTCTGAAAACCTAAGGAACTCTTTCACTCAGTTACTCGGACTTGATATGATTCAAAGCAGCCATCTCCTCTCTGACACACACTCAGCCTCCAGTGTTCTGTGGGCAGGAGCTTTAATCTAACTCCGTTGAATTTACGACGCATCTACAGTAGCGAGTCTGTACAGGCCGAAAATCAAAGCATAATTCAAAGGCCACAGGGCTGAGTAGGCAGCCAGGAGATAAATCCCAATTTCAACCTTGGATTGTCTGCGAGTTGGTTCGGTGGCCTGTCAGTCATGTTTAAAAATAAAATAAAAGTACAAAGACACCAGATGGCATGTCCCATGAGAAACAGGGCCATGTGGCTCAGGACTCCTTCAGAAGGTCCTTAACAAGAAAGAACTTGTATGTGGGAGGAGGAAGGGATTTCCAGGGCCTGACAATCTGACTTCAATCAGTCATTCCAGATTCTTTTGAGGTTTACACTAAAGAAATGCAAGAAAAGAACGAAAACCACGAAAGGCAACTAAATCACCACCCCATGGAGGGGATGCTGCTGTTTCATGAAGCCACCCATTTCTAGAGCAGGGTGAGTCAGGTCCTGAGGGCACTTGGAGAATGAGCTGGCCAGGCCCCAGCGCACCAAGATGCACCAAGGTACTCACCTTGCATCCCTCGCAGGCACTGACGCCGTAGTGATAGCCAGAGGACTTGTCCTGGCAGACGAAGCAGGGCTTATACACCCGAGGGGGAGGAAGTGGAGATGGTGGGCTGGGGACGAGCTCCTCAGAGCTGGTACTCTGTGTCTCGATCGCTATCGTGCAGCGGGGCAGGGGAGAGACAAGAGAAAGTACATTTTAGTTCTTTTAGGTTTTCATTAGTGAATCCCCCTCCTCTGTGTCAAGAAAAGAATAAGCCTTGAAGCTAAGCCCACAAAACAGTTGTCACTGTGACCCCAGCAGTGGTGAGGGTGGCTGTCACTGCCAAGCAACCTCACATGTATATAATGTGAGGTTCAGACACTGTGAGGGTGATGATCACCAATTAACCAACCAGAACAATAGAACTCAAGTTGCTCAGAGTTGTCTGAGACCAGCAGGAGTAGGTAGAGACAAGGCCCAAACTCAGCTCTTCATCCAACGACCCCTGGATCTCTCTTCTGTTAGCCTGGCTCTGTCTCATCTAGAGTGTTGAATGAATTGTTTGATACAGTTGCTCACTTAACCAGAAGTACGTTTCCTTCAGACAAAAATTAACAAAATGCCAAAGCCTGCCATCTTGGTCATACGTGCCTGGCTTTTGGCACGCCACCATAACTGACTGTATGAATCACCATGTCTGAGCTCTGCGCGCTCAGAACTGGTCTTGGACCAGTGCCAGTCACTCTGAGATTATTAGAAAGCTCAGCTACAGGCCTGCACAAGCAGAAGGTGCATTTTGACAAAGCCTCAGCTGACTGAGCAGAGTTCATGTTGGAGAAGTGGTGGGTCACACCTAACTCACTCACTTCTAACTCATATGTCTTTTTATTCCAGATTTCATTCATTCATTCATTCATTTATTCATTCACTCATTCATTCAAAGAAAGGGTCTCTTATAGCCCAGGCTGACCTTAAACTCTGACCCTCCTGTCTCTGCCTCCAGGTGGTACTGCACTGGTGCACACAGGTGCGCACCACCACGCCCTGTTCTTTATTCTAGACTTTAAACTCCATGATCTTCATCATTCAACCATCCACATTCCACAGAAATTGGATTTTGTAGAACTTGGACCAGAGTTGTCTCCTACCACTGCTCCCCAGAATCTTCCAGTCTCTGAATCACATTACAATACCCAGAATATTTCCCAGAGCATAAAATTTCTAGCTGTTGCACTGTTGTATTAAGCAGGTTGACGTACTCCCCTGATTGGCTTCTCCTGCAGACACACTTGGCTCCCTCCAGCCTTACCCTGTGGCTCACCCACACTGCTGAGTGTGGGGCTCCCACACCACACACGGTTGCCATGCCTGCAGTGGCTTCTTCTCTGAGCCTGCCCTTTCTACCGTTGGGTCCATTCTTCAAACAAGCAGGTGAGACAATTATTCAAAGGTTAAAATTGATCTCTCTTACCTGCCTATTGAGAGTTCTCCCACAGTCACCAATGAGATCAGAGTCCTTACCATGATCTGCAAGGTTTTTCATGTCATGCCCTTAGCAACATGTGCCTTTGCTAATTCCCCTCATTGGCTGAGTTCTAAATAATTGGTTTCAATTCTGCTCTCAGATAGGACAAGTTCCCATAGCAACGTGAGATGCTAGCTCTGCAGTGGGCCCATAACTCCAGCCTTGTGGGAGGCTGAGGCTTGAGTCTGGGAGTTCCAGGCCAGGCTGTACAACACAGCAAGACTGCGACAAACAAGCCAGCAAGAAACTGTCAAGTCTGACAATTTTTCACCTCCTAGATCTCAGAATGAGTGTCATTTTACCAAGAGATGATTTCCCTAATCAAAGTTCCCCTGCTGGAGATGGGAGAATGGCTCTGTGATACAGTGTGTACTTAGCATGTGTGACACTGTGGGTTCAGTCCCAGCACAAAACAGGACAGAAAAAGGAGAAGAAAGAAAAGACCCCTTCCTACCCCTGGTCACAGTGTCCTATTTTATTTTCTATAAAACTTAAACTGTTGTCAAAATTTAGGCTTGTCTGCATGCAATTTTATATTACACTTGCCCCCACCCACCCCCCACAATGCTACATATGGCCTTCAAAAGACCAGGAGTCCTAGCTGTGCTGTTTACAGCTATGTGCCAGGACTGGGGGTCTTCCCACAGAGAAGATGATCAATAAACAGTGGTTGAATTAATTCATTAACTTTTCCCTTTTACCCTCTTTTCAAGCACTAAGGGCCCCTCTAAGTTGTTAAATGATAAAATTAGAAATCAAAGAACACTCTAAAACTCATTTGCTTCCTTAAAAAAGTAATTAATTAGCCCTTTGGAATGGAATCAACTATCGTTATAGATTTTCATAATTCATAAGAATCTCAGAATGGATTCATTGAGGTGGTGCGGGCCGTAGCAGATAAATCTATTATGGCCTTTATGGTTAGATCTGAGGAGGGTGGATGAAGACATCAGTCTTGCGCACACACGCCTTCTGGCACACGGAAGCCCTGGCTCGGGAGATGCCAACCATCCTGCGGACAGGGAGAGGGAGCTTGAGAAGTCACTAAGGCTCACCACCATCAACTACAACGGGATGGCCTCTCACACCGGCTTCCGGCTTCTCGGAAGTCAAACAAGGAATCACAGCACCCACAAAAATATAGCACTTGTTGAACTTGTATTTATTATTTCTATTTTAGTGTATGAGTGTATTGTCTACATGTGTGTGTTGTGCAGTTTGTGGAGGTCAGAAGAGGGTGTCAGATCCCCTGGAACTGGGGTTGTGGATGGTTGTTAGCTGCCATGTAGATGCTGAGATCCAGGCCTTCTGCAAAGCAGTCAGCGCTCTTAACTACTGATCCCTCTCTCCAGGCCCTTGTTGAACTTATAAAACAGTACATCTATCTCTGTTAAAGTGCAAGAACACACACACACACACACACACATACACACACACACACAGCAAGTGAGTGAGCGAGAGTGAGAGAGCAATGCACACATCACTCACAGTTCCTTCACTTAGAGAAACCCCCTGTAATCGTGGGGCATCCAGCCAGACTTTTCTATGCTCTCCAGTAGCTTTGCCTGCTTGCTTGCTGAAGTGGACTTGTACTGAGATTGTATGGGGCGCGGTTTAGTTTATGATGTCATGGCTGTTATTTCCTTGTTAGTATTTTTCCTGAAAATCATCTCACTGGAACGAACATCTTCATAGGTGACCTCAGCACATCTCCAAGCATTTCCTTACAATGAATTCTCAGAAGTGGAATCACTAGTTTAGAGGAGATTTCAAAACCATGTTGTTCCTGTTTAACTCATGCTGACAAACTGACTTCTAGAAAGGCTGTCCACTTCCAGCCTTCCTCCCCGGGGAAGCGAGCCCTTCCACAGCCCGTCTTCTAGGCTGGGTTGACTTGTGAGCTTGTTTCCACCCTGAGTGCTCTCAGCACTGTGCAACGATCATGCTTGTTCCTGAGCTCAGAGCTGCCCTGCATTCTTCACACGGCCATGGCGCAGGGTGGAGGGAAGGGGGCGTACTGTCTGACTGGCCTGTGTCACAGCCATGCTGGCTCCTCTCTGAGGGTAGTACATAGAAGTCCCTCAGGCCTACACTCAGCTGTCACTGATATGCCCTGAATTTCAAAAGTGGGTGGCCATTTCCATAAATATGCCACTGCAAATGCCCTCACTGAAGGGAGCCCAGCATTTCATCTCCTCGGAGATGGGAAACAGAGCAGGGAGCTGATCCCAAGAAGTGTGGGACGCAGCAAAGAAACAAGAGGGCTCCTTAGATGTCCGGAATCCCAAAATATTTCACAAGGTTGATGAGAGTCTTCTGAACGAGCCAGAAGACATTTTTTAAATGCTTGGAGGAGTGAAAATGCTCTTCATCAGAGGAGCCCCGGACTCCCATCAGCACAGCCATGGGCTGGCCCAGCTCAGCACAGCACTCACACACGACAGGCCCTGTCACTCACAGCCTAAGGCTGTGGACCATGCCAGGCTCTGCTGACATCATATGCTACACAGAACTCAAGATGAACCAGGCTTGGTGTTGCAGGCCTGTCTTCTTGCTACTAGAGAGGTAGAGGCAGGAGGATAGCAAGTTCAAATCCTGCCTGGGCTACAGAATGAGTTGAAATTCAGTGAGACCCCGTCTCAACAGAAAATACATACCCAAAAAGCTAAGGGCATATAAAACGGTACTTTTCCAGCCTACCTGGGGTCCTAGATTCAATCCCCAGTTACTGAAAAATTTGCCTATGTATGGAGTTTGTGGTCCTAAGTCTCCTTTATGGGGCAATAGCACATGACCAAAGCATCATTGGTGGTGGAGCACCAGAGCTAGCTCGGTAAGCAAAGTTCGAGAATGAGACCCAGGATGAGGCACCGGATGAACGATATGGACTCAGTGGACTCCCTCACTTCCTTGGCACGATAGCAGAACGCACTGGCTAATTTTAATTTTATTACAGTTCCTCTTCCTGGGCCCCCCCAAGTGGCAGCTCCTTCCACAGGACACTTTTGGTATTTAAGGTAGCTCCTTCCCACAGAACATCTTTTGTATTTAAGGTGGATACAGCCAGTTCAGCCATTGATCTGCTCACCGTCACCCTTCTTAAATCAATAATCTATTAGTCCCTTTAAATTAGAGTTAGATTCATCAAACACCCTTGAGAGGCCTCAAACATTTTCTTCCTTACTGGAGGCACGCACAATCAGGCAAAGGAATGATAAAATTTTTGCTGGAAAACTCTGCCGGCTCAGCAGACAGTGTGCTCTCTCTTCGCCCATTCAGCAATCCTGAGCAGGTCAAAAGAGCACCTTTCAGAATCCCCAGGGAGAAAGGGCTCCTGTCAATAAAACTGCCACACTGCGGCCATCCTGGTGGACGACGGGCTGGGGATGTGGTCTTTGAGGACTACTTCGGATCTGCCTCTTGTCTCCTGCTTTAATTCGGCTGCTTGCTGTTGACTGACTGTTCCCTGAGATGACTGCCTCCCAACTTGCAGCATCATCCAAATCATGAACCAGATGGGCGGCTGCTGGCTTAGTCAGGGTGTGGGCAGAGGAGGGGTGCCTGGGCCTACGTTATGCTGGAGGCTCCTCAGCAGCAGAGAAGCTGAGCCCAATACTGGGCATTATTTGTGGAGCCCTGGAGCCTTCA